CGGGGCGTCCCACCCCCCGCGAGGGCGCAGTCTGGGCGGTGGGTCACGGGCTCCGCGCTGGGCTTTGGCGTCCTCGCTCCAGCCCCTCACCGCCGCTTTCTCCTCCCACCAGTTTCCATCCCTGCCAGGGACGCTGGCCACCCTGGAGACACCCTCGCCCCGACAAATTCCTCTCTTGCGGTCCTTGGGATGGGGATCTCCCGAATTTCCCCAGTCGAGAGCACAGCAGCTGAGACTCAAGACACCAGGAGACTGCACCCCACCTTCTCGCATACAAACCAAGCCCCCAGCCCTTTCTCCCCCAGACCCGGCTGCATCCGGGCCTTCTGCTCTGCTTCCCAGGGACCCCAGGGTCCCCAGGGTCTGGACCTTTACTTCCTAGTTCAGGTATGGGGAACCAAAGTCCCCAGATCCTTCCTTAAAGGCATCAGCTACCCAGCACCTTACCCATGGAGGGCCTGGAGAGCACCTCCCGACCCACATCTGTACTCTAAGGACGCTTCTCCCTGCTCCCAGCTTCTCCTTCCCCGCCTTCCCTCTAGGGCTATGTTTTGTTTCCTCAAATGACTGGAAGCCTGTGCCCCCCAGGTTGACTGGGGTAACCCTGCCAGCATCTGTGTGTGTCTGGACATCAAGGGGCCTGGCACCCCAGTAGTAGGCTGAAGGTGGCTCACAGTTTTGCTCCTACAGCTACTTTGAGACCTAGGTCGAGGAAGGATGCTGAGGCAGGTTTAATGACTTCCTTCCTTGACAGAGGGGACCTCAGGAAGACCCCGAAGACACACTCACTCCTTTGTCGTTTTTTTATTAAACATAAATATTCTCATCCCCATATGCCCCCCACTTCTGTCCCATCCTTACCCCTTGGGTCCGATTCTTCCAGGACCTTTAAGGAAGATAGAAGGAACCAAGATAGTGGCTAGATGGGGGTCCCAGGGAGTGGACAACCTTTGGCTCTGCTTCCTCAGGGAGAGCCAGCACACGTCCAGGTCAGGCCTCCGGGCATCTTGTCAATGTAGGTGGTCATCTGGAAGCTCCTTCTTTAGTGTCCGGAAACGACTTCCTCCCCTGCTCCTGTCACTCCCCTGTTCCATCCTTCTGAGGCGGGCTCATGCGCCATCTTGACCTTCTTTTACATGGGGAACTAGGTGGACATAGTGGCCATCTTATTCTCATGTGGCACATCCATCAATGACCCAGACAATTGTAACGATCTTTCTCGCCCTTCAATGTTCACTTCTGGAGGCGTGAGATCACCAACTCGTTCTGGCTCCTTGGGAATCAGGCCAATCCATGATGGCAAGTTGAAGACGGTAGGACTCTTTGGTTGGAGATTTGTCACACATGAGTCTGGAGGCGTTGGTGGACGGGTGGGGGGAAGGAAGTGTATGGGAATGGGGGGGAGCCAGGGACCAGATCTGGGGTTCCAAAGGTTGTGGGTTTGACATAACTGGTGAAAGCCCGAGGGTGGGGTGTGGTGAGGTACCCTGCCCGAGCTCTGTACAGTCTGCAGGGGGGGGCCATCCCCAGGTGGGGGCTGAAGTCATAGAAGGCAGGAGCCCCTGGAGGTCCCAGGGGGGAGGGCGGTGGCAGGAAGAGGCCACCTCCGGGGGCTTCACCAAGACTCAGGCTCACACTGACCCCTCGTACTTTGTAGTAGCCATTGGTTGGGTCCTAAGGGGACAAATGGGACTTAGTGAGGTATGTGGAGGGAATGAAGGGCGAGGCCATGGAAGGAGAGACAGTGACGTGGAAACAGAGCCAGAGGCCCAGAGACAGAGACTCAGACTGCCAAAAAGACGAAGCGAGACAGAAAAATAGTGTCAGAGACAGAGACAGAAGGAGGTGGGCAGAGAAAGACAGAGACAGAGGGACATGAGCTCCCCCCACTCTCTGAGAGCAGAGGGTTAAAGGAAGAAACAATTGTTGATTTATCTGGCCAAATTTTGAGCCTTTCCAGGCCCACAAATAACCACCAATAACTCATGAGACCTAAAATAACACTACCATGTAGTAGCAGCAGGAATGATACAATAATGCAGTCTGTCTGAAGACGATCCTAGGGAAGAGACTTCGGGGGGCACTCAGCTTGGGGGCACTGCCTCCAGAAGCAGAAGCTGGATGTGCCTTTGTCATAAAAGCAGAAATCCTCTTTGGATTTCCTTCCGTGAACAAAAAAGTACTAAGGTTGAGCTGAGCTTTGTAAAAGCAAAGTGGCGTATCTCAGACTTGCAAAACCACGGCATCCTGATCAGGCGGGCGGAAGGAACGGGAGAAACTGGGACGGCACGCATTCCTCTCCCCGCCAGCCGGGCTCGCTCCCATTCTGGGTTTCTCCCGGGCTAGACCTGGCTGGAGTCTAGCCAGGAGATCTTGGGCCAAAGGGGAGGTGGCAATCACCAGAGTCCAGAGGGGTCGGGATGGAGGAAGCCTGGGCGGTGAAACACAGGAGCAACTGGAAGGCTCAGGCACAACCTCGAGCTTTTTTTTTCTGTGCCAACTGTGACAGTGACGGAGAGTGAGCAAGATAGTGGGGAACGGAGCGGGAGCCTCCCGAGCTCAGATGAAGCGGGAGGCAGGTAGGTGTGGGAAGGAAGGGGTGTTTCAGGCGAGGGCGCGACATAGGCCCCCACAGAGGACAGACAGCAGGGCTCTGGGCTGGGCCGGGGGCCCCCCGAGTCTGTCCTGAGATGGGACCAAAGGGAGGCGTGGGTTTGGGGAGACGTGAGGCCAGTGTGGGGCCTGCTGGGTGGAAGGGCCTGGGGGAAGCGACAGCCAGGACCCCTGAATCGCTACTCTGAAAGGAATACACAGGCAGGGTGAACCCTGGTGTGGACTCAAGGTGGAGGCAAGGCTGGGCTGTTAGCTGATGGGCACCCTGAGGCTGTGGAGGGACTGTTCAGAGGGCGGGAGGAAGGGGTTCATAGGGGCTACATCCATAGGGGTTCATAGGGGCTACATCTATAGGGGTTCATAAGGGCTCCATCCAGCTCTGGGCATAACAGAATGAAAAAAGTACAGACAGAAATGGGGAGAGTTGGACCCACGCTGGTGGTGCAACTGGTTAAAGCACATCACTATGAAGCTCTCTGCAGCCACTGGGGCCTGAGTTCGATCCTCACCCAGGGAGCTGACCCACAGGGCGCAGCAGACCTCTCCTGTCTCCCCGCTGCTCCCCTCAGCAGTGTGTTTCAGTCCATCTGCCTGTTCTGCTCCCCACTCTGTCTCTGTCCCCCCACACCTCTGGCCTGTACCCCAGTTCTTGTGTGCATAAATAAAATCTTTAAAAAAGGAAAGAAATGGGGAGAGCTGGAGGAAGGGTGAAGGAAGCCCCACACCTGCCAATACTGACCTTGGTCTCTAGAGCACCTTCCTCATCCAGAAGCAGGTCGCTGTGGTCTGTGCCCACGACGGGGCCCTGGGGGAAGGCGCTCAGTGAGAGGCAGTGGTCAGGACCTTCCTGCCCCAGAGCCAGACAACTAGGACCCTCCGCTGGGTAGCAGAGGCCACGCAGAGCAGCCGAGAGCGCCTGAGGCTGGGGTTCTGGGCTTGGGACAAGGGACCACGGCGCATATTGGGGCTAGAGAACAATGTGGTCTTGGGCATATCGGAACTTGGGGGGCACCGAGTTTGGGGTCACTATTGGGACTAGGGCCTGATTTGAGTTTGGGGGTTTGGCTGAGATGGAGTACATTCATGACTAGCTGCGGCTGGGGACCCGGGTGTCCTACCCGATCTTCGCCGCTGCCGGTCTCCTCTGGGCACTGAGAACTGGAAACGTCACTGCTGCCCGGGATCCGCACCAGGTTCTTTTGCTTGGAGAAGGAGGCTGAAGGCAAAGATACGTGGGGGTGGGGTGGAGATGGGGCATTTGTGGGTTGGGTCATGGAGGGAGGCGGGGAACCAGTGAGGAGGAGGCCTGGTAGGGTAAGGGCTGTGGCCCCAAAGAGGGACTTGGGCTGAGGGAGGACTCAGGGCCTGAGGTCAGCCATGCCCCGCAGGGGTCAGTGGGCAGGGTGGATGTGGGGGAAGGAGCAGGACTAGGTACTGACCTCTGCCATGGTGCCAGCAGCAGAGGGCCACCCCAATGACAACCATGAGGAGAGTGACGGCCGCAGCGGCGACTCCAGCCACGAGCCGCACGGTGGGCAGCAAGTCTGTGGGGAGAAGTGGGGTGAAACCAAGAAACTCAAGAGGAGCTGTGGGCCGAAGAACAAAACTGGGGGGCATCTCTGGGTTCACAGGCTGCCAAGTTTGAGGATTTCCAAGGTTTGTAGTCCCTGTGTTGAAGGTTCAGGAATTTGGGGTTCCAAAGTTTAGGCTCCCCAGTTTTAGGGGAATCTTAGACTTTGAGGCTTTGTTTTTATTTTTTCACTTTGCAATTCCCCATATTTGGAGGTTCCCTCCTTTGGGGGGTGTGAGGACACTCTCAGGGTAGGATTCTGTATTTGAGGGAATGTGCTGTTTTGAGTCTCAAGAGTTAAGGAATTTAATTTTGAGGATCCCAAGTTTGGGGGTCTGCATTTGGGGATCCACAGTTTGGGGGATGCAGCTCTGGGATTTGGAGTTCTGATCTGGGGTCTTCAGGCCCAGGGTCTCACCTCTGCGGCCCAGGCTGACCCGGGTGCCTCCCTCTCCCAGCCGGTTCCGGGCAGTGCAGTTGAAGCCCCGGCTAAAATCCGACTCCTGGGTTCCCGAAATGTGCAGCACAGAGATCAGGCCTGGACCGTGTCCCCCACTGCCCTCCGGGGCTGGAAACGTCTCCACCAGGAACCGACCCCGCGACCCCGCCGTCAGGAAACCCTCATCCCAAGACCAGACCTGGGAAACCAAGGAAGTCAGGGAGGTGACTGGGTAGGAAGGGATACGGGGGTGCAGGTGGGGAGAAGCCAGGGGGTCATAGCAGTTTGGGGGTCCAGATAAGAGGCTGGGGATCGCGGCTGAGTGTGTCATATTGGTGGCACATTTCCTTACCACGGCTTCTGGGGTGGGAGAGGCGAAGACTAGACACTGAAGGCGGGCGGGACCCCTCAGGAAGGCGGGCGCAGAGTGGAGGGCGGTGACCACGGGCGGAGCTGGTTTGGGGATGGTGGGCACATCAGGAGAAGCCTGGGGTTCTCTCCTAAGTCCATTTCAGTTGGGCAGGGCTAGCCCACCCACTGGCCACCAACCCCAGCCAGCCTGCTCACTCCACACCCCTCAGGGGTAGGCACCTCCGAACTTCCCAGTCACGGTCAAGGGCATAAGACCTCACCCCTGCTCGGCCCACTCCCTGTTTCACGGACAGCCCAGAACTTTCTCACCGTTCACAGTCAACCGAGCCTGGGCGGAGCCGCCCCCCAGGCCGGAGGGCCCCGGCTCGGCCCTGCACGCGTAGTCGCCTGCGTCCTCTAGGCCCACGGAAGGAAGTCGCAGGGTTGGCCCGGAGGCCAGCACCTGGGTTAGGAAAGGGGCGTCAGGGGCGAGCCCTTGGGAGGAAGCCCCACCCGCCGCCGCCGGCCCGGCTGGGACCTCACCTGCCAGGCCCCGGGGCGGGTCCAGGTTACCCGTGGGGGCGGGTTCCCACGCCAGGCACAGCTGAAGGAGGCATCTTCCCCGACGTCTACAGACACCGGCTGCGGCTTTGCCTGCAGAATCGGTCCGACTGGAGGAGAGAGAGGAGATGCATCACGTGCCTGGAGGCGTGCGACATGCGGCCCCTGATCCACCCCTCAGAAGTGCCACATCCTGGAGAGTCGCAAGTAAGGGCCCCCCACAGGCCACAAGCCCCGCCCAGCCGCACCCCGTCCTCTCCTCCCCTCGCCCCGCCC